GGAGAGATGGGCCAATGTCCGGCATGATGTTGTGAAACCGGAAATCACATGATCTTGGAAATGCGCGCTAATATATCAACGCCAATTTCGAAACATCACGTAACACTACTTGTTTATTATAACTTTGTTAACTCAAAGTTGTAATGAATAATTATTAGAGAAAGTTTATTTTTCGTAAATATAGAATTGTGGATAAAACAGACAAAATAGACAAAAACGTGCAAAACGTATTAAATTCGAATAAAAAAGTTGCTTTCCATTTACACACAGTGATACGAAATCTGAAGTGATATGAATATTTTATATTTAAACAATGACTTTACTACTTATTTATTTGGTGAAAACTTATCGCATAATAACACAGATTTCTAACCTCATATTTAATGTGAGTTAACAAGATTTAATAAATCATACGATCTCGAGTTTGTGCAGATTGTTGGCAAAAAGTCAATTGCCAGAATGAAAAAAAAAAACAATTTTAGGTTAATTTACATATAAAATGTATGTATGTATTTATAAATGAATTTTTATATATATTTATATATATATATTTTTTCCAAAAGTTCTAGTGATACATTTTTGATGATTTTAAACTTACTTACTGTAAAAGAGACTCGTCTAAGTTAATTTTTGTCTCTGACAATACTTCTTATAATCATAAGCAGACGACGCTCCTCTCACTCTCACATTCGCTTCTTTCACTTTCACATCCGGTTTCACAACATCATGGCAGAGCCAATCACGGATCAGTCGGCATTGGCCCATCTCTCCATATAGGATCTCTAGACCGCACCCTTGTACGAATATGGTACTTAATACGCGTATCAAGTACTCGGTGTAAACTAGGCCAATGTACATCGTGCACTTGATACGCGTACTAACTAGTTACTTTCTATTAAATTATTTTTATTTCAGCGATATATGTAAATGTATACACAATAAACGTATTTAGTTAAACATTTTAGCCCGTATTCAGAACGCGCTAACAACGATGTTAGCGCGCTAACATGCTATAGTTTACGTCACGTATACTATAGAATTTCAGAGATAAAAGCGCGTTTTTATCGATAAAAGTGCGTTCTGAATATGGGCCTTTGATGCGTATTGTATCAATTTTATACATCATTCTTTAAAAACAGTCTAGGGAAATACTATAGTATACGTAACGTATACTATAGTATTTTCCTAATTTTTCGTATACGTTTCTTTTCAAGAATAGACCCCCAGTGTGCTTACATTATCGTATTCGGCAAATGAAAACTGACCTAGTGTAATGCTGAATTTGTATTCGGACGAACCGAATGAACCGAACGAGTGCAAGAAATATTGCACTGACATTTTTGTCAGTGCCGTTTGGTGTATGTACGGACAAATAAAACTAGTTAGGCAGCAAAAAATTACAAAATGGATAAAGAAAGACTTATGGGTGCTTTCCAGCTACGAAACACAGTGTAACACAGTGTTATGTAGGATTCACACTGCGTACGACATCCGACGTACGACGGTACGATATCCAATAGCAGAGCTTATTACAAAATATTGTTAGCTATATATCAAGAAAACAAGCTCTCCTATTGGATATCGGACGTCGTACGTCGGATGTCGGACGCAGTGTGAATCCTACATTACACAGTGTTGACTTGTAGCTGAAATGCTATTTAGTCACTTTACACTAGTGTTTCTTAGAGACCCTCTAACAGAGACTGGCCATCAGGGCCGGGATTCTCTAAACGTTTTATCGATGATTGTCGCTATCGTTAACTAGCGACAGCCAATGAGAGCCGCGCTTTCTTTTAGGATTGTCATGCCATTGGCTGTCGCTAGTTAACAATAGCGACAATCATCGATAAAACGTTTAGAGAATCCCG